GATCCTTCGTGTGACTAGCGAACATGCAACAGAAGTGAGCTTTTATTGTTTGGACAAGCTTCCAAGCCTGAGAGTTGTGGTATTCGAAAAAAACGAACCCGTGTGACAGCAGTCCCAGTCGCTCGTACCATGTCAAGTAAATAAGATGCCATCTTGACAGAAGCTGTAGCAGTGGACCATAATCTTTTGAATCCTATTGCTGAAACAATATCACTTAGTAAAAAAACCCACAGTCAGAGAGGGAGAGGATGATATGAGCATTGCAGAATTGGCGGCTGACCGTCCACCCCATTGCCATCTGGTTTGTTTCTTCCTCTACGTAGGAGAAGCATCGAGCAACTTGGTCTGTAGAAATGACGAGAGGAGTTTGTGATTAAGATGTTTTCAACAAAGGTGCAAGAAGCCTATGATCAAACATACCTTTGTACCATTCAAAGACTTCCTCCTGCAGATTCGACTCAAAGATACACCCAAACGATCGACTCAGCTGATCGGACAATGGTGAAGCATTCGGAATGCAGTTTTCTTCCAACGGCCATTGAGGTTTTAAAAACTTCCTGACGGTTTTGATGGCCTAACAAGCACATTGAGAGTATCAATTGCGGTGGTTCATTTATTCCGGGTACGAGGTTTGTAACCCCATCCGGCCTTTCGTCATAATCTTGGTCGGAAGCTCTTCACCTACCGATACAATTTTGGCGCGCGGACTGCGATGGCCAGCGCTCGTGGTTCGAGTTGTTTTGGCGGCTGATTGAAGTTCGTCCAACGTGATCAAGAATGTCATCGTGACATCAATATGAGAAAGTCTAGGAGAAGTCCACAAGGTGGCGTGAAATGTTGACTGCCTTTGAAACGATCAACTGTCCAAGAATCAACGTACGCGGATTAGATAAAATGAGAGTTCAATTCGTAGAGCATCAACATGAATATGTAGCAGACTGGCAGATTGCAATAATTCTTGGTGACATCGACCACACCTGATTCATTACCCGCGAGAGCGACTCCCAACCACGACGATCCGGAGCTCGTGTGACGTTTGCGGGGCCAATGCCACGGGTATTAGCAAAAGCACCGGAGGTTACCGGAGGATTCAGACCTCTGACCAGCTCTCATGCGTGAGGGTGGCAAGAGTGATGTTTGGTTATCAGCCATGTGATTACTAATCTCCTTGCATTCATTGACAAACAAGAGACCTGTTTGTCAGCTGATGATTGATCCATCACCTGTGGGGGCTACTCCAAAGACCAGATGATTTATCACTAGATTCTCATATGGTACCAAAAGGCTTTATAGATGTTTCCAGCCATCATTACATAATAATAATTGTATTTGACCAAACATGTGCACCCATCATAGAAAAAGGATACATGATTCTTATGTGTGGGAGCCTCAGGTGACACTTTGTTGTTGTGTGGATAAGGTAATGACAAGCCATAGGTTAGCCAGATTTAAGATAGGAAAATGATGTGAGAAGGTGTGCAAAAATAC